ATTCGAAACATTCATAGGTTTGTTTTTTTTTTCTAATGCTGATTAAAAATATAATATTAGTTTTAATTCAATTTCTATTTTTCTAGCTAAAATCCACTAAATATTCATGAAAAATCTGCAGTTTATTTTGCTTATTCAAGAATTTGTTTCTGTCAAAACAGATCCATTCAATTATTAAAAGGTTTCTTCAAATTGAGCTCCATAATTCTAGAACACTTTTAGTCCTATTTCGTTCAAAAAAACAATAACTCTTTATTCCTTTATTTTTCCTTTTTTTTAATTAAAATAAATGATTCATTTATCATTATTTTTTAAAGTAACACTAAATGGCTACCCCTAAGCATAATCGATAATCTATAAGCCATTAGCTTTCGTTAAAAAAGCGACTAATCACTTGAAAAAATTCCCTCATGAATCCTGATCTACATTACGATGATTTTGGAAGTCAACAAAATGTTATTAATATCAGTAAAATCAGAAGGTATGCTTTGATTTGTATATTTTTCTTCTTTATATATTGTTCATTTTAGTTTATAATGTAACACAGAATCATGCTAATTAAATAACATGCAAAGAAATAAGAAAACATGCAGCATATTGAGAAAATATCGATAATAAAGAATCTGTTGGTTAGCATATTTGTTTTAGTGTATAGCATAAAACCTCCTACCTTATAATATTGTTAATAAGAATTTCATTTTTTTTTCTCCGGAATTATTTTGTACACCGACTACACTGACCTGAGTGTATCTAAATATCAGAGATAGGAACGATGCATGTTGTTTCTTTTTGGAACCGAATTAAAGCGATCTCGTCCCCTTGCATTGTCTTAAAAAATTTATACATATTATCGAAATTTTTCCTGGAAAATCTTCCATATGAGTCTTAATTGATAAATTATTTCTCATCATTCAAACAAGCAGATATCATATTATCAAATGACAGAATCCGCTGTTACTAAAATCAAATAGAATTTGTTCGAAGATGAACCATTGAACAAAAAAAAAGTGTTAAGTAGAAATTTGTACCTTCAACAGACCTTATCATGTAAACGTTACCGACACTTTAACAACACTTCGCCCACTCCTCGTGCGACAAAAATTGTTGATATACGATTACAGACCATATATCAGTAATATCTCGCTATAATAGATAAATTACTTCCTTATCGCATTCCTTCAGGATTAAGTAAAAGGATGATGAAGAAATATGTTCCAACATATATAGAATAAAAAACAATCTCTCTGTGATTAGCAACAGCAACTGTACTTAATCCTGCAGGCATTGCGCGAACAACTTTTTTTTCTGCATTTTATCGACTTCTTCGTTGAATATAGACATGAAATAGGAACATATTATACATTGATTGCTATAATTAATTAAAATTCATGGAGCTATGCTTCGAGCTACAAACAAAGAAAATAGCAGCCGAAATTACTTGCAGATGTTTTTTTTTTATCTCGATTTGCTGAAGAATATAACCAACGATGACTTCAAAGATGTTTATTAAATCTCTTCAAAATTGAAAAAAAAAGTGTTTTTTTTTATTTTTAAAATAGACACTTTATGTATGTTTATCTCAAAAATTATTTTTTTTTTGCGGGGGGGCAAGAATAGATTCTAAGAAGATGCAAGAACAGCTTTAAGATATACAGATGACAATCAAATACATTCATACTTAATTAGTCATAGCATGAATAATATCCATTGTATCAAAATCGAAAGAACACAAACAAAGTCTAATAAAGTTTAGAGTAAATATTAAACTTAATAAGATTTTTAATTAGTAAAAGTTGTTTGTATAGTACATTTGTTAGTAATCAATTTTTAAATACTAAATTTTAATTCAATAATTCGCTAAGAAATCAACATAATACATCCATATGTGTCTGATTGTTAACATTTATTACAGCTATATATATAATTAATAGAAAGAGAAACATTTTTCAAGCCAATGCATCTTATATCTAATTTCTCCGTTAGTAATTATATTTGTTTATATGCGCAATGTTTTCTTCTGAAAAGTCATGTTTGTCTTTTTCAGAATTATTATCTAAGTTATTAATATAATGCCTTGGTTATTTGTCAGTATTATCCTTGTAGTCAACACTTGTATCCTATTATTCTTTGACTTCTCTTTCATGAGTCTGAATTCTTATCTTAATGTCATAAAGACTTGGCCGTTATCAAAAGTCAAACAATATTCGAAATATAGAGTAATATTTCATACGAGAATCAACCTAGGGAATTTCTATAGAATTAATCATGTGCGATGATTCACTATAGAGTACTCAAAAATGTATCATATTACATTGTTTCATAAAATATGAAGAATTTCACTAATGAAAAAAAATGTCTCCAACTATTCGATACAATTTAACTTCAATATTTTCTCAATAAATACGTTGAATATCAAATTCTAAGTAAAATTAAAAACTTACATGCACGTAATTCTTCATTTCGTTTGAGAAATTTTGTTAAACTATCTCCTAAAAAAAAGTATGAAATTATAAAATTAATTAATTTTTTTTTATAAGAACATAGCAAAAAACAAAAATCTTAAACCTGTATCAATTGTTGGTTGAACATTTTCATATTTTGGATTTCGTGGTACACGTTTATCCAAAATCTATAATAAAATAAATAAATAAATAAATAAATAAAAAATTTTTGTATTTTATCTTTACATTAACTGGTGGTTTTGGACGATTTGATGTTATCATTGATTTAATAGATTATAAATTTCAAATTTGATTATCTAAAATACATATAAATATATGACGACCTTCATGAAGTCTATATGTCTTAACCATTAAAGTTATTTATTGTTAAGATACAACCTCAATATTGAATATTCATATTTGTATTTGTTTTTTTTTAAAGGATTATTGAAATAAAATTTAATATTTTAGTTAGAAAAAAATGTTTATTTTGTTTTATAAGTTACAATCAATTTTATTAATAATTTTCAAATAGATGTCGTTGTTTAAAATCCTGGCGTCATTCCAAGCAGTTTGTTATTTTTTTTTCTTGTCCTCTTATTTGCTAAACAAACGTTCAGTTGCTAAATCATTTCGAATACGAACAAAAAGACCTTGGAAAATTAATTGGATTATTATTCTTATCTTTTTATATTCGTTACGCTTATTGTATTCTTCTTTTTTTTCGCAGAAGAATGAAAAGATTAGACGCTTGTAGTCTAATATATTTGTTTTTTTAAGAAGAGCACAATAGAAATGGCAAATACATGTGTACTTAATTTTATACTATGCTTTTGCTCGTAATGTTTCTTCTATGTATATATTTTCAGCGATCGATATGCCATGTGCCGCATGCGTTAACATTATGTCAAGGATAACTAGAGCTGAAAAAAAAACTATCTTTTTTTCTTTTTTCTTTTTTTCTTTCTCTCTTTCTTTCTTTCTGTCTTTTTTTTTACTTGGCCATTTTTTGTTGAAGAAAACGAGTTGTGATGTACGTTAGTAGTACTCAACCACGGCGCACAGCGTATGATCTTGCATCTGTGTGAATATTTATGTGAGTTTGCCTCTTTTTACTCGTACGATCATATTCTTTTCATTTATAGCTACGAGCAATAAAGTTAAAATGTTAACTATTGTATCTTTATTTTAAAATACAGGTAAAAATGGAACCGATAAAAGAAAAATTATTGTACCGATTAGAATAATCTCGTGATTTGACCTTGTGATATTTAGGACAAAAAAAATTAATAATAATAAACAGAAGAACGTTGACTGTTTTTTGTCATTAGCAGACGTGCTCGTTTATCAATTGCTATCTGTATAGAATCATATGTCATTTTATCGCTATTTCTATCCTAACAGATACTTTCTAAAATATATATGTATGTATATCATCCTATAGAAGACAAATATGGGGTGGTATAAAACTCATTTATTGCGACGTCATTAGTTTTTCTTGAGATAGCAGTAATTATACACATAAATCGAGCTGACACCTTTTTTTCGACTTAGTTATGTATAGATTTCAATGGTTTATTCTTTTCATTTAAAGTAAGTAAACAAAGACAAAAAACAAAATTGATCCTTTGTTAATCACTTGTCTTGTCTTATGAATAAATTGTTATAGTGACCTCTTATCAAAAAAACAAAGTACATTATATGATAGAACGTCGATATTGATAACAATGGTATAGATAGAAGTCTTAGCATTCGTTATCTTAACAAGAAATCGTGATTAATATAGAATTCAATCGTACCTAGAGGCAAAAAAAGATAAACATTGATTACTCAGAATTATTCATGATTTCTCAACTACTATATGCAATCATTCAACTATTAGAATCGAAATAAAAGGACCTACTCCAATGTCCTTTTCTTTTCTGAGTTTACAACGCCATAGAAGACATCGTCGATTAGTATATTCTCAAATATTAAAGCAATTTTTTTTTTATTCTTTCATACATATATATATATATATGACGTTTATATAATAGAATATTCTTTTAAATGAAAAAAAAAATGATTATGCCGATAGAACGCAAACAAAAAAATGTAAAAAAGAACGAAAAGATGTTGATGGATAAAAAGTAACCTTGAATCAAATATTCTATGACACTTCAGCATATTCACAATTTCATAATCATCTGAGTGTAGAGCTTTTTTTTATTCGTCCTTCTTTAAACAAAAAAAAAGACGTCATTTAAAATTAGAAGAATACGAAAAAATCTATTGACATTAAAAAGAAATATTTCACATGAGTAGTATAATTATTATTTTTCTTCGCTCATATCTATATAACTATATATATATATAGTATCTTGTATTATATAACAGGTGACATATGACTATTTTATGATCTTTCAAGTTTAAGCCATAAACCTTGAATTTAAAAAAAAAAATATTGTTCTATATGATGAGATAATTGTCAGGCGTGGTATTTTTTTTTTCATTCCTTCAGCTTATTTTATTCATATAATCATATTTTTCTTTTTATAGATTAATAAAAATTCTTCTTTCATGTCAACGGATTCTGAACATCATCGACCATCATTTCGTTTTCGTGATAAATTTTCACGTATTAAAGATAAAGTTAAAGAAAAAGTTAAGGACAAAGCTATTAAACATAATATTACATTAATTGTTCATCAAAATTTAACATCAAATGATACAGATGATCATTATACTACACATAGTAGTCGTCATGGTTTTCGTCAACACATGCATCATATGAAAGATGTTTTAAAAAATAAAACACATTATAGTGAAATTAAAGATAAAATAAAACATAAAATTGATGATAAATTTGATTTACATGATAATAAAACATATCCAAAAGGTTTTTATGATTCATTATTTAGTCCTGAAACTGAGAATGATGTTTATTTACAAACAGCACTTACATGTTTGTGGGTTATTGCTCTATTATGTATTATACCAACAATAATAATTATATTTTTACCTTCAAGAAAAAAACGAACAGCTACTAGTACCAATATGATCTTTTTTCATATATTTCTTTGTGAAATTTTTTATCTCAGTTATGTTTTATTAGCAATTATTAATGTGGCAAAAGATTTTCGTTTGGGACCTTTTCTTTGTGATTTTGCAAATTATGGTTTGTATATCTTTTTTGTTTTTGTTTTAGTCGATTGATTTCGAATATCCCAGGATATATTACAACTTACCCAATGAACTAATCTAATTGAGAAATTTTTTCATGCAAAATTTAAAGTCGATTTGTCACGTGACTACAACTTTTTGTGGGAAAAATCCACTAAAAACCAAAAACTTTTCTATTAAGCAATAATACTCATTAAATAAACATCATCTCGATTGAAAAGCGATTTGACATGTGGAGATGTTTCCTTGTAAGTCTAGGAAGTTAGATTATAGCTTTTTTGAATAGTAGTATTTTTGTAAAGTACAAATATATTTTACTGTTCAGTTATTTTCGAACCGACTTGACCTTGATTAAGATAAATTTTTGACTTAATCAATGATTTTATTTAATGTAAATGATAAATCACAAATGCTGTATGAGAGTTATTTATTGCGTTTAATCTAATAGATGTAGCAGAAATAAATAACGATCTCAGTATTTTTTTTTCGACACACGGTTTAATTGCTCACGGAATTTTATTTTTATTTTTTTTTTATTGTAATTTGCGCCTATTTGTTGTTGAAACATTTGCATTGAAATTGAATAGTGTAACTAATTTGCATATCAATTGTTCGAAAAACTTAAGGTCGTTGTCAATACAAGGTAGATGACTATCATTGAGTTAAATGATATGTTATTTTTTTACTAACATATTTGAATCTTTAGTTATTGTGAAACTTTTTTTTTTTGACGAAAGTGAATATAATTACATAGTTATTTGATTTAAAATGTCAAAAGATGAATGAGATATTAGAAAAAAAAAATACTGAGATCACTATTTCCATTGCTTGAAAACGACGAATGTTAGATTCTATTGAACTATAACGTCTTTAATAGGAAGTATTGAAAGGTCTTTGATATCTATCATTATAAATAGATATCTCATTTTATCAAAAAAATTGAGAAATTGATTGTTCTTGTCATGTTAATTATCATGAAAATCGATTGTATCAGTTCACGAAGTGTTTTATATGAACAATTCCTTACATAATAAGTAACAAAACAAATATTAAAACATATTTTGTACTTCAGAAGAGTAAAAGTAGGGATGTACAAACAGAATTTATTGAGATTGGAGACTGCCTCAAATACTCTAGTTATCCTACCCCACCTTCAAGCTTGAGTAGGGTTGTATCGAACACAAATACAGAGAATAGAGTACAAAAAAAACTTTATTTTGCACATTTCTAAATAAAAAGCTATGAATTTACATTGATCATCAAGTCTTCGATAATTTGACATTTGAATTATTGAGATAAAAAATCAATGAGTTGAATAAATTTCAATAGAGGTTGAAATATCGGGTGGTCCAAAAGTAAGGAAATATAGAAAAAATTGAATATCTCCATTATGGCTTGAGCAAACGAGCTAATTTTTTTTATCAACGATAGAAGTGTATTCAAGCTTTATATCCACAAAGACATGCCTAATGAGACCCTTTGATAAGTATCACTAATGATCTTAAGAAAAAAATTTTACTTTGTCACAGACATGAAATGAAATAATATACTTAACAAAGGATCTCTCTAGGCATGTCTTTATGGATATAAAGCTTGAACATGCCTCCTGAATTGGTAAAAAAATCAGCTCGTTTGCTCAAGTCGCAATGAAGATATTCAATTTTTTCTGTGTTTTCTTACTTTTGGACCACTCGGTACATAAAATATGTTTTCCTTTTTTTTTTGTCTAGGCATGTATGTAACAATTCCAATAATGCAATTTGCTCTATTATTTCTTTCTCTTGAACGTTTACAAACACATTTTAAGTTATCAATGACATGGACAAAAATCTTTACTAAACCATTTTTAATACAAGTTATTTTATGTGCTATATGGATTATTCTAATAGCATTAGTTGCTACATTTATGTTTATAAAAAAACAATTTAGTTTTAATTTTTTTAAAGATAAAATACATAGTCTAGCTCCACCAATAGTTGGTGATGTTGTTGAACGAATGGTTGCACGTCGTCATCATTGTTCAATTGATGGTCGTTTATCATCTGTATTTAAAACAGTAATTATTATTTTATTTATTATATTAATTGTTAAACCAATTATATTTTCACTTGGTTTTAATTTATTAACACCATATTGCTGTAAAAAAAAACGAAAAGATCTTGAAAAACATGTTGATCGTCGTACAACAACATTAGTAACAATATTTCTTTTATTAAATTTATTTTTTTCATTTCCATTTTATATTGTATCAATGTTTAATACTATATTAACACGTATTGATTCAACAAAAGATACATTTACACTAATATTAAAAATATGTTTTACATTACGTATAACAAATATTATATTTGAATGTTTAGCATTTTATATATTTGAAAGAAATTCATGGAATTTATTACGTAAATTATTATATTATGGTACATGTAAAAAATGTTCTATATTTAATGCTTCACCAGATGATGATGTTATGTATACAAAAGATCCTGATGTTCAAGATCTTATTAATAGAACACGTTTACCTTCGGATGATGATGATGATAATAATAAAGAAAAAATGAAAAAAAAACGACGAACTAAAAAAGAACCTGAACCAATAACTGAAAGTGAACCTGATGATGATGATGATGATGATGGAGCATTTAGAAAACCAAGTAGGAAAAAATCAAAATTTGAAAAAGCCAGAACACCAGATGAAAGCGATAATGATGATGATAATGATGATGGAGCATTTAGAAAATCGAATAGAAAAAAACCAAAATTTGAAAAAGTCAAAACACCAGATGAAAGCGATAATGATGACAATAATGAGGAAACTGTTATCAAACCAAAACCAAACTCAAGTAAAAAGATTATTGAATCTGAAGAAGAGGAAGAGGAAGAGGAAGATGAAGACGAAAAAACTATACCAAAAACCAAGATTATTAAAAGACAAACATCATCAACGAAAAAAGTCGAAAGTGATGACGATGAACCAAAACAAATTACGACCAAAAATCGAAAGTCTAAAATAAAACAACCAGAAAGTGACAATGATGAAGATAATGAACCAAAACATATTACTATTACAAAACGATCATCACGAACAAGAAAACCTGTCAGCAATGATGATGATAGAGATCAAAGGTATCAAACTACAACAATTCCAAAACGTAAATCACGTCCAAGAATTCAAGAAGAAACAACTATCGAACATCCAAAAACAAAATCAACTAAATCACATCGTAATGATGTCGAAATTCAAATACCAAATGGTAGATCTACATCACATCGACCATCATCCGTTACAAAAAAATCAACTCAAAGACATTCAACTTCTACTGATCATCATAATACTAAACATCATTCGCGACAGCGTTCACCATCATTAAATGAGAGTGAAGCTGATAGAGCTTCAGATGCCAGTCATACATCTTCGAAAATGATCAAGACTTCTGCTTCTTCTAAACCAATAATTAAACAAACAACTAAAACTCATTCATCATCGAAAGAACATAAGCAGATTCGAAGTCGTTCACCAAATCAATCACATTCTCGATATAGAACAGAATCTTCACCATCATCACCTCAACGTCGAGCAAAACCAACAAAATCAACTAAATCTCATCATACAACAAGAAAACATAGTCATAGTGCATCAACAAAAACAAATATTCATACAAAAAAACCAAAAATAGATCGTCGTACTAGAATTCTTGAAATGTCTGACGAAGTATAATGTGTTACGGATGTTTTCTTTTTTGTTTATCAGTGTTATTGAGAATGTTTGAAATATCGGATACTAATTCTCTGTCAGCACATCTGTGATGAACATCATTTATTGAAATCTCGCAATTGTTCTTCAGTGAGCTCGGGTCTCTTCTTTTTACCTTTTTTTTTTATTGTATACTATTTTTTTTCTTTTTACTGTTTATCATTATATATAATAATAGTGAACGTCAGAAAACAAATTAAATACTACATAAAAAATGGCTCAATATGAGAATTATATGATTCTTAAAACTATATGAATCATCGAGATTTTTCTTATTTTTTGTCAATTGAAAAGTCATCACTTATGTGATACAATTATTCAAGAAATATTTCATTGATTAGGTACTTATATTCAAGAGAAAAAAAAACGAATGAATCATTTGTTTTTCAATGACGCAGTGCCTCTAAACAAATCTTATTAATATGCACATCTTAAAAAAAGACAAAGATTGTGTTCGATTAAAAATTGTATCTTCAAGGATATTTGCATTAGAAAGAAATAAATCATGTATTTACTAATATGCGATGATCAAAGGAAGATTTCTTTAATTTATTCTTGTCTAAATATATTTGAAAAAATATTGTTTTCAAACTTGAGTTCGATTGATATATACTTGTTAAAAACCTATAAACTTTATTTTGACTGTCAACTACATACATTCATGATTATCATAAAACTATCAGAGATTGGATCATTTAATATTCGAAACAATTGGAACTAAATAAAGATGAGCGATCTCGAATACTTAAATAATTGATTATGTTTATCTTCAGAAGAAAACCAAAATTGTTTGCAAATTAACACACGAATTTTCACAAAGTTTTCAAGTTAAATGAGTTTTATCAGAACTTTTTTTCTGTTATGTACTGGTTACAAAGGGCAAAGTCAATAAAAAAATTTCAGAGGATGCTTCGTTTGCTTCGAAATAGAGCCTTAAATAAGACAAATCGTTGCAGCAGTGGACCATTGGACCGGTCGATGGGGAAAGTTGTTCCACTTTATGGGGAAATGTTTCACCCCACATAAAGTCATACATATCAAGGAGAAAAGGAAAGAAAGAATAAACAAAAATATATATACATATAATCTATTATATCATATTGCACATATACTTGAATTTAGAGAGAAATGGTTTTTCTTCCAAAGGGAAATGATTCAACAAGGAAAAATGGAAAGAGAGAATAAAAATATATATATATATATATATATATGCATATAATCTATTATATAACATTGTGCATATGCTTGAATTTCAAACACTAGGAATCTGCACCAATCACAAATATTTCGATTCATGACCACTAATTATATTTCTACTCTGCGAAATATACTTTCACCAGATGCTCATTAAAAAGAATCTCGTCTATATCTGCTAGAAGATGTTCTTACGATAAAAAAAAATCTCTTTCATCTCTTTGAATGCTTTTCATTTCTTCTTATTACTAGAAAAATGGATGAAGCACTCCGCAGAAATATTTTAATCATTTCTGCTACTAAAAACTGATATCTAGAACAAGATCGTCTTAAGACACGAGTCTATGGGTTTTTTTATTTCGAATTGAATTTTGAATAAAAAATAACACCCCGTTTTTACCAAGGCAGAGGGACTAAGGAGGCTAACGGGACTAAGGGTGTGGGTGTAGATCTGTATTGCATAGACACCCACACCCACACTTTCTCTCTCCCTCCCCCTCACCCACACTTTCTCTCTCCCCCCTCACCCACACTTTCTCTCTCCAGCCCTCACCCACATTTTCTCTCTCCAGCCCTCACCCACATTTTCTCTCTCTCCCCCCTCACCCACACTTTCTCTCTTCCCCCTCACCCACACT